TGGCTGAGTTTGGCTGGAGTAACGGACACAAGAAAGGAAGGAGCAAGCCAAACCTTGGGAAGGTCAGTTTCTACGGCTCCAGGAGGCCTAAATGCCAGGCTGCAACTTGAAATCTGTTCACTGAGCAATGAAGACTTACGCAGGGGGACTGCAAAGAATGAAGTCAATAGAAGTAAACAAAGCTCTTGGGCTTGTTTTGCCCCTGCCTCCCCTCCCCCCCACCAACTGGAAAGGTAAGAAGGGGGGCGGGGACCTATGTTCATTTCAGGTATCAGAAATCAGCAAACTGTATCAGAACTAAAAGAAAGGCAGCACGCTGAATGAATGTCCAGCGAGTCAGTACAGTGTATCAAAGCTAAGAGCACATGAGGGGAGCTGTTCCAAGTCATTTCTGAATATCCAAAATTCTAAGTGAGACTGTTCTCCATGTCCAGTTCTTTGAGAGCCATATATATGTATGTATGTATATATATGGCCTCTATTTATAACCAAAACTTAAAGCTGCCATGAAATCCTCTTTTTGCCTCTAAAGACTGCGAAGTGTTTAACAGAATTCAGGAATTAAACGTTGTTACGAAGAACTGGACATCTCAGCAGGATGCACGAGGTCTTGGAACTTAAATGTTCAGAATACCATGCATTCCAGGCTGACAACTGCTATCTTATGAGGCCCCCTAGTGCTCACAATGCAGATACTTCAGAAGTTCAAACACTGACACTTAGAAAAACCTTTATTAAATCAACTATGGAATCCATCAGTACTATGATTCTTGTACCAATTCCACTCTGGGATGTGGGGGTTCCCACACCACCAAGCAATTCTCAGACACCAGCTGAGTGTCCTACCATTCAACTCAATTCTGACACTATCTACAGGAAGATATAACATCAGAATCCACAGGTTAAGGGTTTAGCCCTTCCTACAAGGACCCCCCCCACACACACACACACCCAACACACTAACAAAATGATACTAAAAACTACACACACACACACACACACACACACCTTCAGATGCCAGTCCACGTCCAGGTTGTCACCTGTGCTTCTGGTCGAATGGCTATAAATCAGAGGTTCCCACGACGCCCTCCTTGGATTTGATTAATTTGCTAGAGTGGCTCACAAAATTCAGAGGAACATTTTACTTACTAGATTACCAGCTTATTATTTATAATAATAAAAGGGTAATATGCTAATTAGACTGGACTTCATTCCAGACAAAGCTGGGGCTGAAGGGAAGCCTGGGTCCCAGGTGCCAAAGGGAAGCCAGTGCTGGCAGCCGGGGTAAGGAAGGCCTACTCTTGCACAAATTTTGTGCATCAGGCCTCTAGTCCTATATAATAACAGCCCAATATGCTAAGTGTCCGACCGTTTGTTCGATAGTTGGACCAGTTGCTATGACATGCACTGACCACCAGGGGGCAGGCACTCCAATCAGTAGCTTGCTGCTGGGGGCTGGCTGAGATGGGCCAGACATGCCCTGGAGCCCTCCCACGACCCTTCCCTGGCTAGCCAACCTCCTGCAGTCCCTCCCCAGCCTGCCGGCCCCAACCAGGACTGGGCAAGATGGGCCAGACATGCCCTGGACCAATCCGTGCACCAGGCCAGTTTCAGCCTGATCCCCACAGGCCAGGCCAAGGGACCCCACTGGTGCACAATCCGTGCACTAGACCTCTAGTAAAAGAATAAAAAAAATAGGCAGTCGAGTCGTTTCCTCGGCCGGACGCAGACAGTTGGTTCGCTGCGCTCGCTGCTCCAGCCCCGTGGCTGCCCTACGCGGCGCTCCTCTGCTGGCAGGATGGCCCACAAGCAGATCTACTACTCAGACAAGTACTTCGACGAGCACTACGAGTACCGGCATGTCATGTTACCCAGAGAACTTTCCAAACAAGTACCCAAAACCCATCTGATGTCAGAAGAGGAGAGGAGGAGACTTGGTGTCCAACAGAGTCTTGGCTGGGTTCATTACATGATTCATGAGCCAGAGCCACATATTCTTCTCTTTAGACGACCTCTTCCAAAAGATCAACAAAAATGAAGATATCTGGGGATCGTCAATTAAATCTTTTTCAAATTTAATGTATATGTGTATATAAGTAGTATTCAGTGAATACTTGAAAAATGTACAAATCATTCATCCATACCTGTGCATGAGCTGTATTCTTCACAGCAACAGAGCTCAGTTAAATGCAACTACAAGTAGGTTATTGTAAATTTGTTAAGATAAAATTTCTTCTAGTTACTTTTTCTCTTAAATATAAGTGCCTGTTTGACTTTACCTGTTACTTTTGTTTAATAAAGCTTGTATGTTGCGTTTTAAAAAAAAAGAATAAAAAAAATAAAAGGATGTAACTCAGAAACAGCCAGATGGAAGAGATGCATAGGGCAATGTATGGGGGAAAGCCCATAGCTTCCATGCCCTCTCTGAATACAAAACTCTTCCCAAATCTCTATGTGTTCACCAACCCCGAAGCTCTCCGAGTTCCATCCTTTTGGGGTGTTATGAAGGACTCATTAAATATGCATGAGTGAGTAAATCATTGGTGACTGGTGAGTGATCCCACCTCCAGCCTCTCTATCCTCCTAGACATCAGAGATGGGATTGAAAGATCCATCCCTCTACTCTGGGTGATTCCCCCAGCAACCAACTGGCCCCATCCTTAGGTGCTTTCCAAAAGTCACCTCATTAACATACACCCAGGCGTGATGAAAAGGGGCTTGTTATGAGTAACAAGACACCTGTTTCACCTTTTGGCTCTGAAGCAACTTCAGGCATTGAGGACAAGATATTATGACAAAAATACTCTGACAAAAGATGCTCCCATTGCTCTTATTACTCGGAAAATCCCAGCGGTTTGGGGAGGCTGTGAGTCAGGAATCTTGGACAAAGGCTAAATATATATGAGAAATATATTCTGAGCACCTGAATGACCAAACATCTATTTCTTATAAATCACATCACTATAGTAGCCCATCTATATATATAAAAACCTAAGTGACTGTTATGACCAGTCGACTGAACTACTGATCGACTGGCCGCTATGATGCGCACTGACCACCAGGGGGCAGACACTCAATGCAGGAGCTGCCCCCTGGTGGTCAGTGTGTTCCCACAGGCAACCTCCCACGGCCGGCCAACCTCTTGTGGTCCCTCCCCCCAGCCAGCCAACCTCCTGTGGTCCCTCCTACTGGCCAGCCAACCTCCTGCAGTCCCTTCCCCAGGACTGGGCAAGACGACCCCAATCAGCCCTGATCGCTGGCCAGGCCAAGGGACCCCACCCGTGCACAAATTCGTGCACCGGGCCTCTAGTTAGAATTTCTGTCCTCTTAATATTAGAAAGAAACCCTTTACTCTTTTCTACCTCTCCCTTCTTCCTTCATCTCTTCCTCAGAGTGGGGAGTCTTATCTAATTAGTAAGACTTGGGAAGCGGGCACTAAGCATGCCTAACTCATCCCTTTCCCTTTTGGGATCCAGCCCAGCGATGCCAGTCTCCCTTCACCAACCATTAACAGCCTGTTCCTGTGGGGGTGAGGACTACAGGCCGTCCAGCTGCCTGGCTGTGAGTGGGTGAGTAAGTTTAACACGGCAGGAGGACAGCATGGAGTCACATTCTCTAACACTAGCCGTAAGCCAATATTTCAAGCCCAAATTCAGCATCGATTTCTAAACTGTATAATAGTTTAGAGGACAAAAGTATGACCAACTGTCACCCAAGTTTATAAATTAGAGCAAATAATCCCTTTAAAAACATAACTCTCATTTTCTATGTTTTTAATTGACTGAGAGGGAAAGGTATTGAGGATTGCCCTGAGTATACTTGAATTTATATCATTCCTTGTTCATTCCACAACAAAGCAACCCACGACCTATGGGAACGAGACCTTACATTTAGATCACTAATCGTTTGGTGTCCTTATTCTAGGTAGGAACATATAATCTTCTAAATGAGAAGACTATTCCTTGACCATACGCATCAACTCTTACTAAGCATTATTTTTATGCTGCTCATTACAGAATTCGGGTAATTTTATATACTGAATGAAGCCTCCCTTGATGTCTCTGAAAGTAGTAGATGCTTCCTGCCTTTGTTATGCTCAAGCCCTTCCTGTAGTTCAAAAACATGTATCTGAGACTCTTCTTCAAACCACATGTACTTTAGACTTACTCTAAAGTAAAGCATAAATCTGTGAAGTCTCCATGAAAATATATGAGGATATGTGAATAAATGCTCCTGGTTTGGCTTATAAACTATCTTCTCCCCCCCATTTTGTATTACTGTGGGTTTCTGTTTTAATTTTTAAAAATTTGGCATCTAAAAAAAAATGAACCACAACCAATTTTTAGCACTAAATCGATTCTTACGAATCATATTCATTTATATTGGTAGTAGTCCCAGAGTATAAATCGCAGTAAACAAGTCATTAGATTCTATAACTACTCTATCACTGTTATCAGAAATCACATATATAAGATGACTCCAACTTCACACAGTATTCAGGTTAATTTTCATGGTGATTTTTTTTCTTTTAGTTAATTGCCAAGCTGGTTTCTGATTGGGGGAACAATCACTAGGTTTCAAGCACCGCCATAAGCTTGTGTTCTGGGACAGTAGTACAATGCACGTATCAGAACACTGTACGTTAACTCCGCTGGCTACCCATTTAGAGGAAAGGGCAGAGGTCATAGAATAGACAGAACTGTGTTCAATCTTCCTACCAGTAGTGGGTAACATACATAACCTGCATAAGCCTCAGTTTTCTCATCTGAAATTAGAGATGATAATATAGAGTTTTAAACTCTATAAGAAAACAAGTATGTAAGAAAAAATATATGAGAACACATAGTACGTGTACAACAAATAGCAGTTATTGACCTAATCAGTCTCAACCACAGTTCTAACATGGATGAAGGCCACCACAGGTTCATGGCATTGCTATAACAATATTTATTTAAAGAGACTCTGATTAACACATTATATTTAGTGTCAAGTCAACTTACCAAGACAGGAGTACAAACCCTGGCTTATCCAAGCCAATATGGCAAGTGTTATAAGGTCACCAAAACTAGCAGCGATGGGTGTGGCAACATTATCAGGATTTATACCAGTCTTCTTTGAACCAACGATAACCCCAACCATGATTATTCCTAGAAGAAAGAACATTCATTACTTTTCTGCTATGATTTTAAAAACAATCAATTCCCCTACATACAAAATACACAGGCTAGTCAAAAAGCCTATGAATTTCAGTTAGACTGCTTAAACAAGCTGACTAATACAAACAAAACATTTGACACCATTGCTCTGGCAAAATGCCTTTCAAGGAATTCCAAGTGGGGAATCATGGAAGATTCGAGAAGGTCAATGTTGCATTTAGACACCTGAAAACCTCTGGTAAAATAAAGTTAAAGCTGAAGTTTCAAATTTAGTAACTTGTATGTTTTAGATGTAATGTATTTGTATGTATCAAACACACACATTTTATTTTAACCCTCAAATAATGCATGAAAATATCAAAGAAAGCTAAGTCATATTTATATGCATAGCAACTGGGGAAGAAAACCAGTAAAAACAGATTTGTTTACACAGTGGTAGCCAGGAATACTTGCTTCCTTTTATTATTTGAAGGTATTGAAATGTTAAGAGGAAGGAAGCAATTGAATTTTGAACATGAGGCCAGAAGCTGTCTTTGTTTAGAATACTCTCTCAATCCTAAGTTTGTGTCTAGGAACTTATAACTAAAGAACAGAAGCTGAAAATGTGATTGTGTACTTACACTTTTAAGTCCTTATCTTCCTGAATCATAGAAATGGGAGAAAAATAACATTTATATCCACACCTAATTGTATAGATTTTCTCATGCCAACACACTCATTCAAAGGGTGCACTGGAGGCGATTTAAGATTAGTTTACCTATGTGCTAATAAAAACCAATATGGAAGCCTTGATATGGCTATAAAAAAACAACAGGATCTCATGGCATTTTAAGATTGGAAATGACTCTAAATGATTTTCTTCTAGAAAACTCGTGTTATGGGCAATACAACTGAGAGTACGGTTTACATTCTTGCCTAAGGTCACAGAGGTTGTAAGTAACTCTAGTCCACTGTTTTCTCTACTATCCCATAAAGCCAAAATAATACCTTAATCAATAAAGAAATTTTTTTTTAAAGTAGAATTGCTATCTTGCTTCAAAATAATGTCTCATATCTTATATTCTGGAGGCTTTTTCAATCTATGGATTACCTTTCCCATAATACCAATGAAGAACAAAAAAAGCAACAGCAGAAAAAGTTTTTAAATGTATTATGCAACAATCAATCAAGATGTGATCGTGCAGAATTTTTTTCAAAATCAGCACATTTAAATATCTATATGGAAAGTTCTATTACAGAATGCCATCTATATAATTTCAGCTGAAAAAAAATATTTTGTCATTTGGACCAACGGAAAGAGCTGGGAGTCATCAAATAGGTTTTAATTCTGCTTTTTCTGTGAACAGGCTGATGAAATTAGACAAGTCAACTTACTTGAGTCAGTTTTCTCACCTACAAAAGGTGGTTAATAGTATCTGTTCTACATATATTAACTGGATTATAAAGGTCAAGTTATCATAAAATTAGAACATATATTGTTCAAAGTAAGAAGCACTGAACATGTGTTTTTAAAATTGGAATTTTTATGGTTTTAAAAATTCTAGGCAGTACATACATGTGCTAGACTGAAATTTTTTAATAATTCTATCTAAATAAAACAAAATTAGAAAGAAAACAGAAGCAAATGAGCCTAAATAGAATGCTAATGCTTTAACATTTCTTTAACCAGAAATAAATTTTCTAATAGCTTAATTTCACTCTCCTTTGGTCAGTGTTGACGCTACCCAATTCTAGTATTTCTATACAGTCACACACCACTTAACAATGGGGATACATTCTGAGAAAGCATTGTTAGGCAAATTCGTCATTGTGCGAACATCATACAGAATGTATGTGTACAAACCTAGATGCTATAGCCTACTGCACACCAAGGCTGTATGGTATAGCCCATTACTCCTAGCCTACAAGCCTATACATCATGTTACTGTACAACACAACACGAGATTAAATCAAGCACAAGAGAAAATGATGCAGTTGAAACATGGTAAACATTAGCTGTATGAGATTGCTGCCCAAGAAACACATCATATGTTTTACAGTAATTTTTTATAAGTAGAAAGAGTAAACTCTAAAATAATGATAAATAATATAGTAAATACATAAACCAGTAACATAATCATCTATTATCATTATCAAGTATTATGTACTGGACATAATTGTATGTGCTATACTTTTATTTTTTTTAATATATTTTTATTGATTTCAGAGAGGTAGGCAGAGGGAGAGAGAGATAGAAACATCAATGATGAGAGAGAATACCATTGATAGGCTGCCTCCTGCATGCCCTCTAGTGGGGATCAAGCCTGCAACCTGGGCATGTGCCCTGACTGGGAATCAAACCATGACCTTTGGGTTCATAGGTTGACACTCAACCACTGAGCCACACTAGCCAGGCTGTGCTAATAGTATAGTTGCACATATGATTGGCAGCACAGTAGGTTTGTTTACTTCAGGATAATCACAGACATGTGTTGTGCTAAAACATTACAATGACCATGATATCACTTGGCAATAGGAATTTTTCTGCTCCATGATAATCTTATGGGACCACTGCTGTATATGTGGCCCATCATTGACTGAAACATCAGTAAGCAGTGCATGACTGTATAGGCAAGAAACTACTCCTGATACAATTAAGTACTAAAACAAAATGTTTGAAAATATTTTAGAAGTCTTTTTTAATAGATTTTTATTGATTTCAGAGGAAGGAGGGTGGAGAGGGGGAAAGAGAGATAGAAACATTACTGAGAGAAACACTGAACAACTGCCTCTTGCATGCCCCCTACTAGGCATTGAGCCCACAAGCCAGGCACATGCGCTGACCAGGAATCAAATCAGTGACCTCCTGGTGTGTGGGACATGATGCTCAACCAACTGAGTCACACCAGCTGGGCAAGAAATCAAGTCTTAATTATAATTAAATTCTCTTAAGTTCTGGGAAAGAACCTAGCCAAAAAGTTAGCTTCATTATATGATCACCTAGCAAGAGAATCTTCTTTTGAACCTTGTTGGTTATATAAGGGTGAAAAGATGATGATTATAAAATAAAAAGAACCAAGTCTTTATGACTATCAGTCCATAAATAATCTAGTTATCCAATGTGAAGTTCATATTAATTAATAAATATTTTAAAAATGATATCCCAACTGAAAATTTCTCATGTAGTGAGTTTTTTACAACTTCTGGCTCTCTCAAGTTCAACAGCCAACAATCTGCTATGTTAAGCTTACGGTTATATTTGTATTGCCACAGAGATAGTGCAGAGTTTTCTTTGAAATCTGAAAACTTGAAAAAATTTCAGCAGAGAGACTGCCTTTGGAACTCGGGATTCTTGGAATCCTTGTTACTCAACTGAGAAGCCAGAAAATTCCTCAGCATGATTTTCCGGAAAGAAGTTTCTCAATTAAGTTAACTTAACAGAAACAAATGAGTAACTCAGCTATGCTCCTGATCTAGTTTGAGAACTGTCCCAGGGTACCTACGGCCAGGAGACGATCCAAAAGCCTGTTCTGCACTCAGGTTTACATATAATAACTATAAATATATCTGAAATAAGGTATTTATAGTTTTTAGACAACTTTTTGATGTTTTTTTATTATGAACACATACCATTTAAACAAAAATAGGCATGGTATTGGGAAATGAAAGTAAGAGACTACGAGTGGGCGCTTGTAAATGTACTTACCCTGCAGAAGAGAGGCGATGAAGGCAGTTGCTACGCTGCTAGAGCACAACAGTATGGAGTGATCAAGGTAGTACTTCCCCTCTGGGATCCAGCCCAGTATAACTGCCGCCACGGCTGCTAGAAAACCGACGACTGTTGCTTGAACCTAAAAAAAATTTTTCATAAAATTCAATGGAATTATTCATTTCGCAAACACACCTGTAGGCCTGATTATATAAATGTGCGTATGAGAAGTCAGAGGAAAGTATGGCTATTAGTAACTGAGCTGCCTTTTAGAGAAGCTACTATATTTTAGTTTTAATATTCTCTAAGGCGGTGGGGTCTCAAGTTGCGCAGGTATGAAAGAGGGTTCAGGGATCTGTTTCTAACAAGCATCTCAAGTGACTTTCATGATGTAATCCACACGACATCTAAGAAAATAGCGACTTTAGGGCTGAAAAGTACACAACCCACCAAAGTGAAGCCTGACGCCAGAGGCAGTGTTGGCAAGAGACTGGATTTTATAATCCAAAAATGAGAGTTTGACTCCTCGCTACACCACTTACTCTTGTGGCAAATTATTCAAATTCATTTATTCAACAACTATTAATTTAGCGTCTATTATGTACCAGGCACTATGGTTGTGTTGGGCTACCACAGTGGTCAAAACAGGTTTATTCCCTGCTCTTAAAGAGCTTTGGTTGGTGGACATTAAACAATAACCTTACATGTAATCACCATCATGATTAATGATATACAAACTTCCGTTCCTACCCGGCCAGTGTGGTTCAGTGGTTGAGCGTCAATCTATGAACCAGGAGCTCACAGTGTGATTCCCGATCAGGGCACATGACTGAGTTGTAGGCTCAATCCCCAGTAAGGGGCGAGCAGGAGGCAGCCAATCAATGATCCTCTCTCATAAATGATGTTTCAATATCCCTCTCCCTCTCCCTTCCTCTCTGAAATCAATAAAAATATATTTTTTAAAACATATATATATTTTGGGGACATCCTATATTTGTACAGAGTGTGATTCCCGGTCAGGGCACATGACTGAGTTGTAGGCTCAATCCCCAGTAAGGGGCGAGCAGGAGGCAGCCAATCAATGATCCTCTCTCATAATTGATGTTTCAATATCCCTCTCCCTCTCCCTTCCTCTCTGAAATCAATAAAAATATATTTTTTAAAACATATATATATATTTGGGACATCCTATATTTGTACAGATATTAAACTCAAACTCTGGCTCTCTTATACACTTAGAACAGAAAACATTTTGTATATTTATATTTTTATATTGTATGTTTTTCATATTTAGAAGTACATAATTTCTAGAGAAAGAAAACTTTCAAAATCATTGATATTCATTTATTCTATCCCTTTTTTGCAGTAGTAAATTATCACTTGGGGTCCCCTGAACAATTAAATGGTAGACTTAACTAAAATTTATTTCATTCTTACAAGTAACAACCAAGATCTGTAAACCCAAGATCTAGAATAAATATGTGTATCACTTACCTGTTTTAAAGCCAAGTTGCCAATTATTAGGTTCCACTTTTCAATGGGTGAATCCATCTTCCCAATATTTACCTGTTGAGGTGGATATTTTCAGGTATCACTGAATAAGCTATATGCTCTCTATTCTACTTCAACAGCACAGTAAGTCTTGAAGCCAAAGACAAGTCTTTAGTAAATCTGATGAGATCACACTGCACTTTAAATATAATTCTGAGTTCGCTACTATTCTTACAGCTCACATTCAGCGTGCCTGAGATGTTTCAGAAATTTTTTAGCTTACTTACTAGCTCACAAGTGGACTAGCTAGTACTACCCACCTTCCCAGTGACGTTATTTTACAACTAACACCATCAAGTGCATCCTAACATGCCAAATTTTGTGTACGTAGGCCCAATATAAGTACATAATTTTCAGTTGCTAGCATATAATTTCACATCATGAAACTAATGTGATTTGAAGGATTATTGACCAAAAAAATCCAGATATAAACAAATCATTCATAGGGACATAATTTATATTTGAGTCATGACTAACACTGTTAATAAAAAAAAAATTCATTCAGTTCAATATGAATTTTGATCACATATCTCACTATTAAAGTTTATATATCTTTCTACTAAGTGGAAGAATGCACTCCAAAAAATATTATTATTCACATATTTAATTATGCTATAAGCCAAATCATTCTTATCAACCACTTAGGATTCATAAAATGTATATGCAAATCTGACAAGTTTTTCTAATGCAGCATTTTAGAAAACAATGAGCAATCATTATTAAAAATACTATACGGAGCCAGGTTTCAATTATTCATCATCTGCTTGGTCATAGAAGATAGGTGAAAGGATAAAAAGCTGCAAATGAGGACACACACACACACACACAGGTCATAGAAGATAGGTGAAAGGGTAAAGTGGAAAATTAATATAAGGGTATTATAGTATACTTATGGGTAGCTTTAACTATGGTCAAACTGGCTTCAGACCATTCAGTTACGTGCTACACCAACCTTTCCTGTATCAAAAGGGTCCCTGGTTCCATTCTGGCCAAGGGCACATGCCTGGGTTGCGGGCTCGATTCCCAATAGGGGGCCTCCAGGAGGCAGCCAATCAATGATTCTCTCTCATCATTGATGTTTCTATCTCTCCTTCTCCCTTCCTCTCTGAAATCAATAAAAATATATTTTAAAAATATAGTTTTTTTAAATTAATGAATTAAAAAGGTAGAATGTTATAAAATAATATCAGAAAATCAAGAGTTCTGTGAGAAGAGGTTTAAGGCAACAGAAGTCGATTTGGGCTATAGTGGGAAAGTACTTATCAAATTATGTTCCAGTGGTCAGCAACCTGCGGCTCGGCAACCCGCAGCTCGCGAGCCACATGTGACCCTTTAATGTGATTTGAAGGATTATTGACCAAAAAAATCCAGATATAAACAAATCATTCATAGGGACATAATTTATATTTGAGTCATGACTAACACTGTTAATAAAAAAAAAATTCATTCAGTTCAATATGAATTTTGATCACATATCTCACTATTAAAGTTTATATATCTTTCTACTAAGTGGAAGAATGCACTCCAAAAAATATTATTATTCACATATTTAATTATGCTATAAGCCAAATCATTCTTATCAACCACTTAGGATTCATAAAATGTATATGCAAATCTGACAAGTTTTTCTAATGCAGCATTTTAGAAAACAATGAGCAATCATTATTAAAAATACTATACGGAGCCAGGTTTCAATTATTCATCATCTGCTTGGTCATAGAAGATAGGTGAAAGGATAAAAAGCTGCAAATGAGGACACACACACACACACACAGGTCATAGAAGATAGGTGAAAGGGTAAAGTGGAAAATTAATATAAGGGTATTACAGTATACTTATGGGTAGCTTTAACTATGGTCAAACTGGCTTTAGACCATTCAGTTACATGCTACACCAACCTTTCCTGTATCAATCTAGAAAACAGATCCTGTTGTCTAAACTCACTCTGGACTACAGTCTCAAAGTATGCAGCAAATGCAAATATTAATATTTCTCAGTGTTTTGGAATAATTACTCATTCTGTCTTAATTTGTATACTTCTTTTCTAAGCCTGGAAATCTAAACTATTAATACCATTACTTGGAGCTTTAGTTTTTCTTTATTTTAGAAGTTTTACAATTTGAATTGCAAGTCTAACTTACCATTACTAGGGACAGAGGCTCTGCCAACTTCTTCATATCCCTCCACTGAAGTGTAAGCTCAATGAGGGCAGGATCATTTTCTGTTTTGTTTGTTGCTGATTCCCTAGCACACACAGCGCTTGGCATACAGCAAAGACTCAAAACCTTGAGTGTGGCTCGTCCACAAAATACCAACTTTTCAACAAAATGCCGACTTCTGCGCATGGGCCACGAAGTTTCAATCACATTGTACCTGCACGCCCCCACGTGGTATTTTGTGGAAGAGCCATACTCAAGGGGCCAAAGCTCGCGCGCCGCAGTTTGCCGACCACGGTTTAGGCAATTTGCTTCTGGGAAATAGTTTCACAGGCTTTTTAAAAAATACTATCTTTAGGACAATGGATACCATTTTGACTCATCTATATCTAGCATTCAGAAGCAGGAAATTCCAGACCTCAGGTAATAGCACCCAACAATTTGTAGGTAGAACCACTGTACTTGGCTTACTTTCCAATTACATACTACTGTTAGGTATCTATAACAATATCTACTATAATATATATCTATTGTTGAAAAGATAAAAATTCAGGAAAGATACTCAAGTCAAATATTTTTTAAGCCTCACCTGAGAATATGTTTTTATTGGTGTTTAGAGTGAGGAAGAGAGAGAGAGAGGGAGAGAGGGAGAAGGGAGAGAGTAAGGAAGAGAGAGGGAGAGAGTAAGGGAGAGAGAAGGAGAGAGTAAGGGAGAGAGTGGGAGAGAGAAGGAGAGAGGGAGAGAGAGAGAGAGAGAGAGAGAGAGAGAGAGAGAGAGAGAGACTTTTTTTTAGACATCAATTGATTGGTGGCCTCTGTACTTGCCCTGACTGGGGATGAAACCCGCAATCTTTTTGGTATATGCTTTATACAGTAACAAGTTTTAAGGACAACTAACCTTCAACAGATTGAGGTAACAGACTATATCTGATATCTTACGTTTTAAGTTCGGTATCTTTATACTTTCCCGAGACCTTCCTTATAATCCTATACGCTCATTTATCCTGATTCTTCTGCAGATAATCATAAAAATGAGAAAAGAGCCAAACCAGTTTGGCTCAGTGGATAGAGCGTCGGCCTGCAGACTCAAGGGTCCTGGGTTCGATTCCGGTCAAAGGCATGTACCTTGGTTGCGGGCACATCCCCACTGGGGGGAGTGCAGGAGGCAGCTGATCAATGTTTCTCTCTCATTGATGTTCCTAACTCTCTATCCCTCTCCTTTCTTCTCTGTAAAAAATCAATAAAATATATGTTTAAAAAAATGAGAAAAGACCCTTTAATTGAAAAAAAGATTAAAATAATCATAGATTGGCCTTTTAAAGCTATAATGGCTTTTATTCCTTTAACAAGTGAAAATTAAAACTACATTGGGAAACTGTAAAATTTTTTAAAGATTTTTTGCACATAGTTGAAATGGCTGATTTTCAAACAGTGCTCATTTTAAGTTTAAAAAATAATTACTCTTCCCTCAGGGAGTACAATTAGGAATCAGCTACAGCAATCTCAATTACACAACAGGCAACTAAGTTAAGGTTGTGGCAGGTGGGGCGTAAGAGAAAGGGAAGAGGGATTTCATTGTAGGAACTGACAGTCCAGCTGGAGAGGGGAGGCACGAGGTGATTGGCAATGTTAGTGAACTGATAAGAAATATAGGTAAAAGGGAATGGTTGGAGTAAGAGAAAGTCATGAGTTTAGTTTTGAATGTAGTGAGTGGTGCAGACATTTGAAAATTCAGCTCTGGAGGTCAGGAAAGAGACTGGCGACACGGGGCTGAGCCACGTGCAAGCAGTGTTGGATTACATGAAATTACTGACAGGGAACACGTAGACAGAGTACTAAAACCTTAAGAAAATCTCAAATCAAGAGGATGAGCAAAGAAAAAGAGACCAAAAAAGTAGACTTGAGAAGCAGCAATGAAAGAGTTGGGAGAATGAGGGGAGTGTGGGGTTTCAAAGTTGAGGGTAATAAAAATTTCCAGTAGAGAACTGGCAGGGAAGAGTCCAGAGGAGGTGAGACTTTGGGGACTTTGCTATTAAGAAGCCATTAATCTGGGATGTGAGGGTGACCTGGCCGCGACATCTGTCACCCCACTGATTGCCAGGGTTGATTCGGCTCATCTGGCTGGCTCAGCGGGTGTCCCCTTCCTCCGTCACCGATCCAGATGCTGCCTCCGGAAGCCACACGCTCCAAGAGGACGACCTTCCCTCAAGAGGAGAGGATTTGTCTTCAGCCAAGGTGTTCAAGTAGCTGCCCTCCCCTGCTGGACCCTCCAAACAAGGCCTCAGGAAGTCATTCACCTGGAGTTGCTCTAACGGTGGACAGAGTATCAAAACAGCTGACAATGACGCTCCAGCATTCTTTAAGAATCGTAGTCCTCTGCCTAGCAAACGAGACCATTCTCTAAGCAAGTAAAACACCATACACTAGATGAAGATACCATGTTAACATAGCTTGATGCCACAAGTGACTGGTTTTCCATTGACTAATATGTTTACTTTACTCCTCTCAAATCCTGAAAGAATTTCAAGTGGCTACTCCTGGTCTTTTAGCTAATTCACCAGCCAATTCTGTCACCTCTCTCTGAAAATGAGTTCTGGTTTCCAACATGTCTCGCTCGCTACAACCGCTGTTACCATGCTGATCCAAGCCAACACGATCTCAATTTGCCTGCCTGCTTCAGTCCTTGGCCCCCTGTCGTCCTGACTCAACACAAGAGTCAAAATAATCCGTTAAAAATATCTATCAGATCACATCATTCCTCTGTTCAAAACCTTCCAGTGGCTTCCCATTTCACACAAGAACCAAAGTCCTTGCCACGGCGGGTAAGGTAATCTCATCCCCTGTGACTTATCCCCTCGATTACTTGGTCCCAACCCTACTGGCCTCTGTGTTGTGCATCTAACACAGTGGTTCTCAGATTTCTGATGTGCTTCAG